AAGATGATCAGTGAAATGTCTTGTTGATAAAATTAGAACCATGGCTGGGAGTGTGGGGCATGGTTTTGATTATACTGGATTGTTAAGACAGATGAGAATTATATTTAAAAAAAAGATTTATTTATTTATGCATACAAGAGCTGAGGTACAGGCCAGAGATGTGTGGGGGTAAGAGGATTCACCAGAGACAGGATGGGGAGCAGAACAAGCAGACTGACTCAAATACACTGCTAATGGTAATAGTAGGTTGGTGAGGAGAGATCTGCTGGGCATTACATAGGTCACCTGGCCTGGGATCAAACTCATGCTGCAGTGGCTGCAGATAACTTCATAGTGCTGAGACTTAACCCCTTGCACCACCAGTAAGGCCCCAAATAAGACTCATGTCCCCATGAAGCCCTAGATGACAAAACACATTCTTTAGTTTCACCCATCTTTTTCTCCTTGTCTTCCTACCCCACAAAACATGCATGATGCTGCTGCATGATTTTTCTATGAATAAAAAGGCCAGGATAATACTTGTTCATCTGTTCTTTGACTCCTGTTTACCAGGATAGTATTGCCAGCACAACAATGATCAGTTGATAGATGTCAACAACACCTGTCTTGCAAATATAGTTTTTATTTCAGTTGCTATTTAAAGTGTTCTTATAATAACCAAGTATTTTAATATTTTTATTTTTAAGAAAAGAGAAATCTTCTCTTTGAAAAATGTCCTGACCATTCTGTTATAGGGCAATCACAGAGGCAAATGGGATGACCTGGGTCTGAATCCTCACCCATGCTCTTAAAAAAGAACATCCAGGGCCTCCCTGGTGGCGCAGCAGGTTAAAGCACAACACTAAGAAGCTAAAGCCACTTCTGCATGAGTTCGATCCCTGCCTGCCCCAGAAGTGACCACATGGCGTGGCAGACCTCTCCTGACCTGCCCACTGCTCCCCTCAGCAGTGTACTTCATCGATCTGCCTTTCCTGCTCCCCATTCTGTCTCTGGTGAATCCTCTCACCCTCTTTATCTCTGGCTTGGACTCCAGTTCTGTGTGAATACATAAATCTTTAAAAAAAAAAAAAAAAAAGAACATCCACCTGAGCTCTACACATATAATAAAAGACCCATAATATACTCTCTCTGTGTGGTGCAAGGGGTTAAGTCTCAGTGCTATCAAACTATGACCAGTCAGCTCCCTGCCCAGGTAGCGAAGCCACATGGGGCAGCAAACCTCTCCTGTCTTGCCTGCTGCTCCCCTCTGCAGTGTTTTTCAGTAGACCTCCTCCTTTGCTCCCCATTCTGTCTCTGGTGGATCCTCTCACTCTGTGCACCTCTGGCCTACACCCCATTCTTGTACGCATAAATAAATTTTTTAAGTCTTAAAAAAAAAGCTATAATGTGAATATGACCCAAAAAATACAGAACAGAACAATACCCAAAGGCAGGCAAACATAGGAAAGTTAGTAAAAATATTTATTTACAATGGAAATGAAAATAGGAGGAACACAGAGAGTGAGCAAGAGATAGAGATTAATTGGTCAATATTTCCTGCTGGTAAATGTCCTGACCTGGACCCTGGGTGCATGCTGAAGGCAGGCAAAATCAAGTTCCCTTCCAGGCCCACATGTGTTCAGTCTTATAGCAAGTATGACTATTTAACTCCACTCTAAGTTCCCAGCAATCCCCCCCATCAAGAAGTCAAGTGTTATGGCAGACTCATGGCATGATGTGGGTTGTATTTCAGCCTCTGGGATCTTTTTGGCATGGAGGTAGGGCCAGAGTCCATAAAATATCAGCTGGTATGCAGCAAAATGGATGGAGCTGGAGAAGATCATGCTTAATGAAATAAGCCAGAAAGAAAAGGAAAAATACTGGATGGTTTCTCTCATAGCAGGAATATAATGGAACAGGCAAGAAAATAATGATAATGATGAACAGCTATATACCAAAGACATTTTGTGGGGGCAAAGCAGGGAATGGGATCAAAAACAATGAGGGGAGGGAAATGCACTGGACTATGGTAAGGGCACATGGGTGATTTGGTGATGGGAAACCCAAGGGGATTGCAACTGGGATGCAATGCACAAAAATATGTAAAAATAAATTATTATAAAAAAATCAGCTGGTGGATTCAGGACATACTATTTCCCAATGATTCCATATTTTATACCCCACATGAGCTCTGTACATATAATAAGCTGATATTTTATGGACACTCCTACCTCCATGCCAAAAAGATCCCAGGGGCCAAGATACAACCCACATCATGCCATGAGTCTGTGATAATATACTCTGTACATGTGTTTCTCTGTACATGTATATTTAAATGAGATCAATGTGTAGTACATGTACCTTTTCAGTAAATAATGTAGTTCTTGCAGTATTTTATTGGTTAGGTTCTAATTCTAGCAAATATCTTATTTATCTTTGTATACCCAGAAGCTATTTCAATACCTAGCAAGTGTCAAGCACTTAAGAAACATCTATTCAATAAATTAATAAATGAAACTCAGGGCTACTTTATTTCTAGAAATATACTGTCCAGCAGAAACATCCATAAGACTGAGAAATGTAAGCTGACTTGTGCCTTCCAATTTGCTCAGCGCTCCACAGATCATTTGATCTGAAACCTAACAAACATAACATTCCTTGATTTAGTATTCACTTAATATAGTCACTCTAAGCCTAAATAGTAGAGAACAGTCAAATGCTGTTTTATTTTAGGATGTTTAATAAATTTTACATGATGTGCTCAGTAACCATCCCTTACTTTCATTCCATTCTGATCCTCTCCCACCTGCAAATATATATGAGAGAAGATGTGAGTATAGAACAGAACAAAGAAGTGAGTGAGGTTCAAGAATTAGGTCAGCAATAGTGTCTGAATTTGTGAATGGCTCTCACATAATGTTGGGTAATGTTTCTTAAATGCTGATTGAAGCATTTAAGCGTGATTTATTTTAAGGCAGTGTCAAAATATTTCTGGTGTCAAAATGACTTGATCAAAACATGTACCTATTTGATCACCACAGTAACAGTGTGAGATAAACAGAACCTGCTCTCTGGTTCAAAAAAGAGGACACTAAGGAAATGTGTCCTTTACAGAGATGGAAAGGACAAATGTTAACAATTTTTTGACCTAGTATACTAGGATAGTAATATTATTTTCTTACTGCCAAAAGATAACAATTTGTTCTGAAGTAGCTGTTCAAATAAAAACAGTCCTTGGGTTCTTAAACTGAGTATTTCAGTGACTTCCAAACTCAAAACCCCAGAGTGGGAGAGATTTGTTTGGAAGGTTTTGTTTGTTTGTTTGTTTTGAGGTACTTGAATAACTAACTTGCTCCTTGAAAAAGCAGGGTGCAGACATCAAAGGCCTGATTATACTGAATCCTTCTTTTCAGTCATTATTTAGACTAGTTCCCAGCATGCCACAACCCAAAGGAAATGATCCAAGTTCTGTTTAAAATTCAGAGACTAAAGCATTTACTCAGCACCCTGTTCACATTAGTGTTGGTTTATTCATCATTTAAAAGTTTTTTGGTAGCTTCTTTTTTGCAATAATCTGAGGCTTCTGTGAATTTTCTCAGAGCACAGAAAGCACCTCCCTGACCTATTTATTATGAAAAAAATGTCATGCCCCTCTGGAACGACCCTTGGGATAATCAAGATCCTTGAACATAATTGAATCCTGGAAAAGAATTTTACAGAAATACAGCTTTTCTTTTCTCCTTGTTTTGTTTTTGGATGGTGGTGATGAAGGGTACATTTGTTTCTTGGTGGAGAAGGTGAAATTTTAGAATAAAACTGACCCTTGCTGCTTATTGGTGATGACTTTCATCAAGCAGTAATGATTTTCTTCAGCTATGTTTCATCATCTAGGAAAGTATATTGCAGCTATCTGAAAGAATGTTCCTTGAATTTCCCAAACTAAAAAACTCTATAGAAAACACCTGAGGGCTTGGCTATGTTTGACCAGCAATGGAACTTAAGATCCTTATTTCTGGATTTTGGTGATGTTGAAGGAATACAACCCAGCCCACCGTCCCCATTCCTTCTGCTTCTGGTTTGGAGCTCTGGACCACAGCACTAGCCCTGGTCAATTTTTAAAAATAATTATTTAACAGTGTAACTTTTAGACCTAACTGATAGCTACAAAGCAGCCAATAAAGAAAAAAGATCACACACACACACACACAAATCTCTACAGAGCTGAGAGCAAATAAGAGCACCAAGGAATGCAGGTTATGTCTATACAAATTACAAAGGGCGAGACTTTTCTAAAGATATAGAAATTATATCTACCTTTTCGTAAGGGTCAGGCCCCAGCCGAACATAGGCATAATGAAGGAGCAGTTGCCCCAAGCAGAAGCAGATATTCGGGAGCGATAACCTCATGACTTGTCACCACCAGTTAACTCTAGCCAGGAAGAAAATTAAGTTTCAGTTCCTTGTCAAAATTTTACACCTGGCCGTTTCCCCCACTACCTAGGCCTATAAACCAACCCCCACTACCCTTCCTTCAGTACGACTTCTCTGACCTCAGCTCTCTCTGGGATCAGTGAACCTTGCCCAGGAGCGCAGAAATAAACCTACTTTTAGTTTTACCGGCCTCGCTATCTCTCTGCGTCCTCCCTACTGCGCGGAACCTATCACCTTTTGAGTACAGAAGGTGGAATGGAAAGAAGGGAGTCTGGAGCAGATATAGAAGAATAATCCCAAAGCAGAACCCTTCACACAAGATAATCTAACTCTCCTTGACAGGTGCCCGAGCAGAGAAGACTTTTGGTCCTTGCGGTAACGTTTACTTGGGAGGTTACAACAATGACGTCAAAGTTTACAACAATCCAGGTGACCCTGAGCGCCGGACTGCGGCACAGAAAATACGCTACTCTGTCTGCCGCCCCTCCCCCTCCCATTCCCGGGGGATTGGAGTAGCTTTGGAGTCGCTGACGCCATCCTTTCCCTCCTATGGTTTACAGGGAGCATGCGCCTCCTTCCTCACTTCCTCTCAAGGAGGGAGTCAGAGTAAGGCTACGCCCTAACAAACCCTGCCGGCTTCGCGTCACAGGAACTTCAGCACCCACAGAGCGGACAGCGCTCTCCTCCACCTGATGACCTGCAAGGCAAGTGCCCTGAGCCTTTTCTAATCCCCCCTATTCCAGTGAGCAAAACTCCAAAGGCAAATTCTCTGCCACCCTGCTTCACCGCACCCGCCCTCCTCGCTCTTCCTGTTTTTACTCCTCCTTTTCATTCATAACAAAAGCTACAGCTCCGGGAGCCCGGCGCCAGGCTGTTTCTGAGCCAAGAGTGAAAGAATGGGGTTCCTTTGGACCGGTACTTGGATTCTGGTGTTGGTGCTTCATAGCAGCCCAATTCAAGCTTTTCCGAAACCTGGAGGCAGTCAAGGTACGTATTTCCATTTACCTTTTATTTCGCCACGAAAGGTAGCCCTTGGTATAATCCGTGAACAGCAAATCTCCTTGAATTATTTTCTGATCAAATCATATCGACATATCACTTTGAATTTAGAGACAAAAGACAGATTCTCCTTCACTGTTTAAATGATAGAGCAGTAACACAGATTATTTGAAAGAGCTTATTTTTGAAAAGATGGCTTTTCCATCTAATAAAGTAGCTTGTTTTTTTCCCTTTGTTTGTAGTTGTTTTATAATCTTTCTTAGTATATGAATATTTTATTCATAACGTGAACTGTATGATAAAAAAGATGTTAATATAATAATATCAACCCAAACTATGCTCTATCTAGGGGAAAATAGCTAAGTCAAGTATTAGAACTATATGTTAGATTTATGGTCAGGAAGAAAATGTGTAATTCAGGGAATGGGCCAGGATAATAAGAAAGGCAATGTTGATAATTCTTGTTATTGTATGATCTTGATAATCTTTTTTCAATATATATTTTTGTTTCATAGTCACCAAGTTGTTCCTCCTCATATTTGTTTTTCCTTTTTTGAGATGTTATATCTTTCCAATGCATAATTAAATTTATGTTTGTGTGCATTTATTCTAGACAAACCTTTACATAACAGAGACTTAAGTGCAGAAAGACCTTTGAATGAACAGGTAGGTCAAAAGTAAAATTATAAATGCTATTTCACTTTCCCTTGTTACTCTTATTAAAAGTAATTGTGCTGTGACATTTTTACCATTTTGAATTGACAACATAAAAGAGTTTAATAGTAAGTTGACAAATTAGAATAGGAAATGTAATTTTGCTTATTTCTATGTCCTTACAGTTATAAAGATAGAATTTTGTGTAATATATAGAGCTGACTGTGTAATAACTCATTAAGCTCAACATCATATCCAATCTATCATAAGATTGCTTCACTTGCCAGAGATTTCTCTTTCACCAATATTATAGAAAGGAATTGATATTGTAAAGCCTGTATACTTTATCTTACTTAATCCTTACAATAATGTTTTGAGGTAGCTATAGTCTATGTTAAACAAGCTAAATCTAAAGACTGAAATCATTTAACTGCATATTTGGTAAGTAGTGGAACAATGATTTTAACCAGGTGTCTGTTTGCCTCACAGATTGCTGAAGCAGAAGTAGACAAGATTAAAAAAACATACACTCCAGGTAAAAAAGAAATTATACTGATGTTAAGTTAGATAAGGTAGGCTATGAGAATCATAACTAAATGTGTATGTTGGACTTGGGAATTTTTTTCCAGAAAACAAGCCAGGTGAAAGCAATTATTCCTTTGTTGATAACTTGAACCTATTAAAGGCAATAACAGAAAAGGAGCAGATTGAGAAAGAAAGACAATCTATAAGAAGCTCCTCATATGACAATAAATTGAACATGGAAGATGTTGATTCAACCAAGAATCGAAGACTGATTGATGATTATGATTCTACTAAGAGTGGCCTGGATCATAAATTTCAAGGTAAGGAAATAAGAGGGAAAATCTTGCTAATAATTTTTTCCTCATTTGGAGTTTCCCACTATGGGCTAAAAGAAATCTCTGTATTTTGAACATCTCTTATACATTCATAATCTGTTATTAATTAGGTCCAAAATTGAAGTAAAGTTCAAATTAGTAAATAATTTAAAATCTGTGAGGTCCCAGCTCCACAGACTCCCAGATTTTATTTTCTCTTTAAAGGTTTCTTTGCCTATATTTGAATATATATATATATATATATTGAATTCATTTTAACTTTCCATTCTATTCTCCCTGTTATTACAAATGAAATATCATAATCCTCAAATAATTTAATCAATAAAATACCCCCAAATATAAAATATCATTGCTTTCTTTTCAATATTCTCTTCCTACCTATATGATTTACCCCTAAATCATTCTAACCTTTCCATGGTTTCAGTTAGCCTCCAAAGCCTCATGTCTCAACATACCTGTCTACCCACGAAACATATTTTTTTAAGGTTTATTTATTTATGCACACAAGAACTGGGGTACAGGCCAGAGGTGCAAAGGTGAGAGGATTCACCAGAGAAAGAGTGGGGAGCAGAACAGGCAGATGCATTGAAATACATTGTGGAGGGGAACAGCAGGTGGGTCAGGAGAGGTCTGCTGTGCCATGTGGGTCAGCTCCCTGGCCAGATAGTGAACTTGTGCTACAGTGGCTAGCCTCATAGTGCTGTGCTTTAACCCATTGTGACACCTGGGAGGGACTGTACATACTACACATCTTCTCTTGGAAGTCTCAAAAGCAGTTTTGACTTCATACATCCAAGGTTAAACACATGATCTCTATTCACTTTATAAGCCAGCCCCTCTTACAGTGCTCTTTCTTATCCAGTTTTTCAAGTCTAATATTTAAGAATAAAATTATCTTTCTATTCTCAAATTCTTTTCCACCAATCTTAATCAATTTTACTTCCTATGGTTACTTTAATATTTTTTTTCTACCTCCAATTACCATCCTTTTCCAAGCTCCAATCATGTCTTGTTTGAACTACAGCAAGATCTTGTAATGAGTCTTACAGCTTTGCCTTTCTCCAGCTTATTTTTCATGTGGAATCCAGAGGGATCTTTTCAACACACAAATATGTCACTTTTTTGCACAAAACCTATAAATAGATTCTCTTTTCTCTTGGAATAAATGCCAAATCCTTCCCTAATCCTTCATGGTGCTTAGTGCAATTTGCAGTTTTATAATCCCAAATATGACAACTTATGATTCATGATATTCACATAAATGAAGCTGAGAACTCTACAAGAATAGAGACATTAAAGCCCCAATATTTGGATGCTAGTGAATTCATTGCGTGGCTTGATAAATAAATAGAGTACATAAAGGTTTAAATAATCTGATATCCATAGACATGGAGAAAGAGAATATTTTCCATTCCAAGAACTAGTGCTTAAAAGGCAGTACAAATTTTCTTACATTCTTTTATGTTGTTCCATGGCCCCAAGGAAGTCATGTCAATTATCTCTGCCAGAAAACAACTCCCAATTAAATCTGACTTTCCTCATCAGGAATAGCCTGAGTTTTCGGAAGTGTGTTATGCATGTATGGGACTGGGGAGATGGTTATATTTTGACATATTTCACATTGTATACTAAGGAAATTTTGAATTTTTTCTTAAATTCTACCTATTAACTTAAAATACTTAGACTAGCAATACACTACAAAATGGGCATAACTTACATGCAAAACAGATTAAACCATTTCTACTGATACACTAAATCACTTGATTTAATAGTCTAATGTTTGCTAAACTGTTTTTTTGGTTAAGCTGTACATGTAGACAGAGGCACCGATCTATTTCTGATACAAACACTAACTTGAGTAACTTACATTCAAATTAGTCAATATTTTATTACCATCCCAAATGAGTTGAAAAGTATTGAATACTAATCCTAATAGCTCTGGCTTTAGTCCTAGGCTCTAGGAGTCATTTTAGGTTCCCATAAGTTAGAGAAGTTTATGGGAGAGAATGATTTATAAGTGAATTATTCTTCTCTTACCCTTGAGATCCTGGAACCAGAAGTTTGGGACCACCAAAATAAGGAAAACCTTAGACTTAAATCCTAGAAAGGATAGTAAGGAAAACTGACTTCTGCAGTGTGCTACACAAGACAGTCACCCCTTTAGGAACCCCCAAACAAGTGTGTGCTATAGGGCCCATCCTTTCTTCTTTTCAGTGTTTTCTAGTTTGTGTGATTGTAAATTTCTCAAAGTTTCCTTTATGAAGAAATACTTTGGGGTTCCTGTATGCATTCACCAATGAATATTCATTGAGCAGTTACTGTGTGTCAATCTACCAACTAGGCAACAAACTTTGTGTAGGTAAGGACTTTGCCTAAACTATTTACACTCTATTCCAAGTACTGGCCCATATTAAGACTTTAATAAAAAATGTATTGAATAAATGAATCTCAGATTTGGAATTAGATGCTGATGATGCAAAACATAATGGGCCGATGATGACTCAGGATATGGCCCTTTCAGATCCATTTCAAATGTTGTAGCTGCTTTTAGAAGTTTTAAATGTAGAAGCCAGGTGTGCTTCCCTTTGAAGGTCTGTTTAGGAGGATGAAATACTCCAATGAGAGTAAAGAAGTCATTCTGAATAATTCTGTGCATTTTAGAGGAACCGGGCACTTAATGGAAGGTCAGGAACAATAACCTACAGGTTCAGCCATTAATCCCATCTAGCAAAGCTCTAGTAGAGTAGGCCCAGATCCCTGGCTCCATACAGCATGGCAACTTTCAACAAAATGGAGGAATTAGAGTCAGAATGATGAAGAAAATGTATTGGACAGTTATATAGCAGATAATTCAATAATTTAAAACACTTTCAAAATCTAGTGGACATCAATAAATATCCTGAGGGCTGTGAGCTTGGGAAGGAGGCGGTAGGGAAAGAACAAAGGGATATATGGAATGGTGGTGGGAAGAAAAAAATAAAATAGGAAAAAAATGCAGCAGTGCAGCAGAGGAGAGAGGCTATTTTTTCAGTGCTGTTAATGTTCTCCCTGTTGTGAAGTAAATGAACTGAAAACGGTCATCAGAGTTATTTTCCAGCTCTAGCAGGCAACCAATATCCTTCCTTTTCCAGATCCTGAGGGATAAGTGGGAAGGAAAATAAATTCTTCCACCTCTGCCTAGACCCGGCAGTTTCTGCTTCATCTATTCCCAAGAGTTCGACTAAAGCCACAAATGGAAAATTCAGAACTAAATGATAGTCAGTTTTTGCTCCTAAAGAAAAAAAATTAAAAGGATGATGAACCAGATTTTCAGTCAAGCAGAAGGGAAAGTGATTTTATAGGGGTCTTATTCAGGGTTTTTCTGCTTAGTAGTCATGCTGGTAACACAGAACTTGGAGAGTTCAAAGAAATCACAGGTTGGACAAAAGCTCAGCAAAAAAAAAAAAAAAAATGCACTGTCAGAAAACTTACAGTTCTCCATGTAATCACCCTGCTCATTTTCCTAAGATTATTTCTAAACAACAAGAAGATATTCTCCCTGTGGTTGTATTTATTTCCATCTTCCTAGAGTCTGGAAGAAAGGCCATGCAAAGAAACAAGGAAGAAATTCTCTGTTTGGATACTTAGAAACCATGGATGAAAGGGACAGAGTCAGAATCAGAATAGAAATATTAAGTTTTCCTTTCTTGGATAAATATGATCAGAATTATCAAGACAAAACTTGTTCAGGAATTCAGTGTCTACTTTCTCTAAAAGATAATTATACTTCCTTTATCTTAGTTATAAACCCATGCTCCATAACAATAATAGTATATTAATTTTCATAGAGTACTTTGTAATTTAAAAGTTGCTTTTTTATCTTATTTCATCTGACACTCATAATCCCATGGAATAGATCCTTTTACTCTCTTCCTCAACAGTCGCCCAAGAATGTGTAAATAGTAAGAGGCTTATAAATGGGGCTAAAAAGCTGATCTTTCCTATCTGCCTAGAGGTGACAGGGAAAGCTAAGTGCTTTGCCAACTTGCACATATTAATAAACTCCTCGATGTGGTATTGATTTCTGGAGTTCTCTCCTTAGACGCAGAGTACTTCCTTGCCACCAATACCACTGTTGTCTCACTTCCTGTCAGGATGGGCCCTTGCTTTAGTCTCCAGTAGTCCTGCCAAATGTATTCCCAGGAAAGCCAAGGAGACATTTGCAGGCTTCTCTGCAAGGATTTGCATATTATTTTGTGCAAAGCTGTTGTCACATTTAAAATTTTAAATTCCAGGCATATGTAATGAATTCACTATTTTATGGAGAGAGGGACTTGTCACATTAAGCTGCCTTACATAAAGGCTCTCTGTCACATGCTCAGTTAGAGATAAGTATTTATTACAGATAAATCATAAAATCTTCAGTATACACTCTCATGCTGGGTGTGAGGTAAAAGACAGGTAACCCCCACCCTCAGTCCAGTGGTTTATGGCAAAGAGGGCACTTGACACACCTACTCTTTGTATGGAAATGGAAATCAAATCATATAATCCACAGAAACTTATATGAAAATATAGCATACTATAAAAAGAAATGGCATAATAGTGTTTGTATTATTAAAGATAATACAAAATAGACCTTTTGTCTTCAGTTTACTCTTATAGTCACTTAAGAAACTTTCCATATTTCCTTTATTATTATTAACCTGAAGTTGAATTTTATTTCAAAGCAAGAGTTATGTGGACCAAGCACCAGCATAAATAAATTCTAAAATATATCTGACTCTACAAGAATAAGGACAGATTATTAATGTGTCCATGAAATAAATCTATGGTCACCATAATGTGAAATTATGATTGCCCTGTCTAGATGATCCAGATGGCCTTCATCAACTGGATGGAACCCCCCTAACTGCTGAAGACATTGTCCAGAAAATTGCTACCAGGATTTATGAGGAAAATGACAGAGGAGTATTTGACAAGATTGTTTCTAAACTGCTGAATCTTGGGCTAGTAAGTTGTATGCGTAAGAATAAATCAAATTCTTAGGACAGTTTGGAATATGCTAAGAACACAAACCAATTGATTCAAGTAGCATAATGTATCTACAGTGGACAAAATACTATTCTTTCCTCCTAAAAATTTATAGTCTACCAGGGTAACTAGATGAATACATACATTCCCGTAATGCAAATGGCATAAGAATCATAAGAGCAGTTCAGATGCCAGAGAGTGGTTATATTCATTGGGGCAGTAAGGAAAGCCTCAGAAGAGAAGGTATTTGAAGGGAGTTTAGAAAGATGGCTAGGATTTTATCAGCACAAGTAAAAGACACATGTCCAATGAGAAGATTATTGTATGAGCAAAGGTGTGTAATATTTGGAAAATTCTAAGCAACCTAATTTGACCCTGCCTCAGTTTGATTCCTCACACTTAATACAATCCTGGTAGATTTTAGTAAGGAGCTAATTTTGTGGGGTTTCAGAGATAACCTGACCATGACCTCAAGGGGAGGGCTAAACAGTTGTTAAGGTGTTTTTTAAAGTGAGTGCTCTAAGGGCTCCAAAGACTAGCCTGATGTGGACCATATCCCAAAGTGCTGGAAGTCACTCTCGTCAGCATGTGGCAGAGGAATAAACAACGGTTGTCCAGGGAGAGGGGACTGGAAGATTCTCTCATTTTCTGAAAGTATGTGTTCAATTAACCAAGTTGGTCTAGGCTTTTTATCACCCCTCCCCAAATGGAAATAATAATCATAATATGCTTTGAATCTTTATAATAGATCACAGAAAGCCAGGCACACACACTGGAAGATGAAGTAGCAGAGGTCTTACAAAAATTGATCTCAAAGGAAGCCAACAATTATGAGGAAGAACCCAATAAAACTACAAGCAGGACTGAAAGTCAGGTTGGAAAAATATCAGAGAAAGTGGTATGTATACATATGAATGTATATGCATGTTGTATATGCATGCATGTATATGTGCATGAATGTATGTGAACTTGTATATAATTAAGACTGTGTTAGGTGCCAAATATTAGAAGTAGATGACATTATTAGCCCACTTAAAACATATATTTGTGAAATACCAGTAAGGTAAAAAATATAAATGAATTCTTTGAAAAATATTTAAAGATACATGTTATATAGTAAAAGGTCACATTTTATACCCCAGAGTAAAGTAATATAAAATTATGTCACATGGTTATTTTGTATAACAAATATTTGCATAATCTCAGTAACCAAGAGCCAGATATTTTACAGCCATCTGGGTATCTAGCTGCTACTCGCAGTGGATATTATCATCTGTCCCAAAGTCCTAAAAAAAGAAACGTGGGTTTGATTTCACACTCGGTCACCCAGCTTTTATATTCCCGCATCCTAGTTCCCTGGTGTGCTGTCTGTTCTCTCCTGTGCTCTTCCATCTGCTCCTTCCTCTTTTCAGTGGCTCAGAGGTTCATCTTTTACTTGCCGAGTCACTCCTTCCTTCCCTTTGCTGGAATCTGTCCATCTTCATCTTTTCTTCAGCATCAACCAAGCTACTGAGATCTTAGTTCCCTCCTTGAACTCTCATTGAAGTTCTAGATGGATCTGATCATAGGGAGATATTAAACTCCTCACTTTTCCTTGGATTACCCAGACACCACGACTCCGCATTCTTTCCAACATCCTATCCATGCATGAGAAAAAAAGTCTACATACTTATGGAGCTGTTTTAGAGGAAACTAGAAAACAGAAATTGGGTTTGGATTTTTAAAAAGATTTTAAAAATTATTTATGCATACAAGAACTGTGCCGGAGGCATAGGTGGGGGGTGAAAATGGGGAGCAGAACAGAGGATCTAGTGAGATACAATGCTGAGGGGAGCAGTGGGCCAGACAGAAGTCTGCTGTGCCATGTGGGTCAGCTCCCATGCCAATTAGCTGGCCATAGCTTGATAGCACTGAAAGTTAACCCTTGTGCCACTAGGGAGACCTCATGGATATTTTTTTTTTTTTTTACTAAATAGCCAAAAATTCTCCTTTGCTTTTCACTTTCAGTGTCTGCCAGCTTTTATCTTTTAAAATATCTTTTGAGGCTATACCTAGTATCAAAAAAAACTTATAAATTTTTCAAAGACTCCTGACTTCCACTCAAGTTTCTTAGTCTGACTAGAAATGGACATAACTATTTTCATGATCATTTCCATTATGTGCTTTTTATTTGCCCATCTCTAAAATGCTTGATATTATTCACTCATGTTATCTAAATACATGAATGAAATGAAAATGAAAATTCTTTCAATCAATATTTATTGAGGTATCAACTATGCACCAAGAGCTGGGAATACAATATGCATTTTATCTATTTTTTATATTTTTAATGATTGATTTATTTATGCATACCAGAACTGGGATATAGGCCAGAGGTGTGGGGGTGGGTGAGTGAAAGGATTCACCAGAATCAGAGTGGGGAGCAGAACAGGCAGATTGACTGAAATACACTGCTGAGGGGAGCAGCAGGCATGGCAGAAGAGGTCTGCTGTGCCATATGGGTCAGCTCCCTGGCTGGTGATCAAACTTGTGCTGCAGTGGCTGCGGATAGCTTCTTAGTGCCGTGCTCTAACCCATTGAACTCCCAAGGAGGGCACAGTGCTCATTTTAAAAGACATAATCCCTGCTCTCATAAAGCTTAAGGTCTAATGGAAAAGGTAGGTTGTCTTCAAATAGTCATATATTTTAATTACAACTGCATTAAGTGCTCTGAAGAAAGACATGTGGTGCTATGAAAGCTCACAAACAAGGAAACTGTCTTGGGCTTAGTTCAGGGTAGGCTTTTCTGAGGAAGTGAAATGAGCCAAAGACAGAAGACTGAACAGGAGTTAACTTGTGAGCATGAGAGGCAGCATGTAGAGAAGGAGGTGTGGATTATGCAAGCAAATGAAATAAGCAGTGTGGCTGGCACATAAAGCAATGAGAAATGAGACTGGGGAGGTGAACCCAGGGCAGACAAAGCAGGGGCTCATCAGCCATATTTGGAGTCTGATCTTTATTTTAGAGCAGTGGAAAAACACAGGATTTTAAACAAAGGAGTTATATGATCAGCTTTAATAAGGTAACTGACTATAGTGTGGAAAATACAGTTTGGGGAATATATTGAGGGTACATGGTATACTGGTTTGACAAAATGAAGTGAAAAATGAAGGCAACTTGGACTACAGTGGGGCAGTAAAGAAAGAAAGGGGAGGTCTGCACCTCCCCTGTCTCACCTGCTGCTCCCCTCAGCAGTTATTTCAGTACATCTGCCTGTTCTGCTCCCCACTCTGACTCTGGTGAATTCTCTAACCAGCCCCCACTAGCCTATACCCCAGTTCTGTATGCATAAATAAAATAAAAAAACAAATCTTAAAAATAAAAGAAATGTACAAATATGGAATAAATTTGAAAAGTAAGGGCCAGGAAGACTGCTGATGGATTGGATGGGGGGGTGAAAGGGGTGAGGAAATGAAGAAGATGCAAGAAAGGCTTGTTGATTTCAGTCTAGCCCAATAAGTGGATAATATATCATTAACTAAGATCAGGAACATTAAATAGATCTGGGAGAGGTTTTTTGTTTTTGTTTTTTTGTGCATCCTGCAAACAACCCCTAAATTATCACCCAGAAATCTTGACATGTGATAGCTCTGACCATCCCAGTGACTACTTGCCCACATGCCTAAAAAAGGGTTTGACCTGGGAGGATCTTGTGAAAGAAGAGGTATTCCTGCACTTCCCATTCTAGAGCACCACAGATTTAAGATTCAAGCTGGAGAGTCATTATTCTAACAAAATGTTTACTTTTTCATCGATTCCCCTGTCTTTCCTCTCGCCCGCAGACTCCAATGGCAGCAATTCAAGATGGTTTTACGAATAGAGAAAATGATGAAACAGTATCTAATACTGTGACCTTGACAAATGGCTTAGAAAGGAGAACTAAAACCTACAATGAAGACAATTTTGAGGAACTCCAATATTTCCCAAATTTCTATGCACTACTGAAAAGTATTGATTCAGGTAAACACTGTGCTTTCTGACCATGTGAAGCAGAAACAGTAATTCCAGGAAATGTGTGGGTGGGGTTTTTTTCTTCCTGTTTTCAGTTTTCAAACACAGTCCTCAATGACATATATCATGGCATCAGGGAAAATAGCTCACATTGATTTGTTCAAAAGAAGCGGAAATATTTAGGAAAGGATAATGAGGAAGGGTGGAGTTTCTAGATAATTTAATTTTTTGCTAACAGTGGGTTTATTTATTTGTTCAACAAACAGTTATTTAACATAACTGTTTGGAACAAACCTTGCACAAATGTGGAAATGAATCAGACAATGCCCCAGACCTGACCCAGTTCAGCCTCAACTCTTACTGCAAGTATCTAAGGCTTTATTCGTCTTTCTCTGTAACTGGGAACAGTGTGGAATATATTTATCATTTTTGTGGAACATAATTTATCATTTTCAAACAATTCTGAATTTTTAGACATTTTCAACTTCAGTCTTCAACTGAGTTAAGATGAATTAAATGTTGAACTAGAGGAAGATGGAAGCCAAAACACATTTAGACAATGATTTGCTTTTTGAAAACAAAGTGATTATGTCTAGCTCTTTTTAATAAGTTAACTCAAGATTTCAGTTCATTTTTTTAAGATTAAAAAAAATTTTGAAGATTTATTTATTTTTGCATACAAGAACTGAGGTATAGGCCAGAGGTGCAGGGGTGAGAGGATTCACCAGAGACAGAGTGGGAAACAGAACAGGCAGATCTACTGAAATACACTGCTGAGGGGAGCAGCGGCAGGACAGGAGAGGTCTGCTGCGCCATGTGGGTCAGCTCCCTAGCTGGGGACTGAACTGGTGCTGTAGGGGCTGCAGATGGCTTCCTAGTGCTGCAAGATGAGCCCTTGCTCCAGCAGGGAGGACCCTCATGTTTATTTTTGGTTGACTTTTCAAGATGATAATCATAGGTAAATTTTGTGTTGTGGTGGTCATTATTCAGATAGATGTCTTGTGACTCCTCCTTATTCCAAGATTAACACCCAGACTTAATTTGTAATAAACATTTCTGTGAGTATAAAGTATTTCCCCGAAACCTGACTCTAGCATGAGCTTTCATTTCTGGACAAGATCCTTTGTCTTTTCATTCCAGGCACTGGCCAGATGATACTGGCCTCTGTGCTGCTGGTTGGAAGGCTTGTTTATCTGAGGATTTAGAGTCATCTTGTCCCTTTAGTTGACAGATGCCCAGCTCAGAACCTGTGACATCCTGGTGAATCACTCATCAGTGAACAGTATCAACATGATACAAAACATATACATTTCATGACCTTGAGCAAATATGACAGATAAAATTATTATTTTCCAGTCCTTTTCTAGGATATCCCCTATTATCTCTTCTCCTCCTCTCTCCCAATCTTGAGAGTGGTATTTTTAAGATCCCACTGCTGCCACCAAGGTGGTCCACCATGACAGCCTGAGTTTAATCCCTGCTAGGGAGCTAAGCAGACCTCTTCTGTCTTGTCCACTGCTCCCCTCAGCAGTGTATTTCAGTGGATCCACCTGTTCTGCTCCCCACTCTGCCTCTGGTGAAGCATCTCACCTTTCCCTCTCCCCCCACTTTGGCCTACAATCCAGTTCTTGTATGTATAAGTAAATAAATTAATAAATAAAACATTTTTTTAAAGATTCCACTATATAGAATATTGGATGTTTTTATCTTTAGGTTTCTTTCATCTCATTCTTTGCCAATATTTTTACAGAACTTTAATTTAATTTTAATTTTAATTTAATCACTTACAGTGAAGTCTCTGATAGTTTCCATGTTTCTTACCCGAGGTATGAAACAACAGAAATAATGAAGCAAGTACAAAATCAAAATAGCCCTGATTGGGTTGTAGAATGCAGTGAGTGTGAACACCAACAATAAGCTTGCTCACTCCATAGACCTCAGTCTTGCTTTTATAACAGTCAGTTTTGGAGCCGAACAGGCATTTGGCCCAGATCCTGCCTTCCACTGTTCCCAGGCAGCAGAAGAAAAATTCCAAAGCCCCATCAAGAAGAAATGTAGACTGATTGTTATTGCCTACCAACTCTGTGGGGAGGATGAAAGGCTAGAAGTATTTAGAGAATATCTTCATGGCAACTCAAATGGGTTTTCCTTTATCATCATCATTTTTCTTTTCCTCAAAAATGGAAATAGATATTTTTCTGATTTTAGAGTTCATGCATCTATTGAATTATTAAGGCATCATCAGCCTTTTTCAATCAAGAATGAAGAATTCCAAAACAACTATTATTTAGAGGGAATAGGAGTTGAAGGAAGAGAATATTGTCTTTACTATTTACTTCTGTATCATTGAAACCTTTTCATTATGCACATATTTTCCCCAAATGAATTAGAGCTTAGGACTCAATATATATTACTATTTAAAAAAACATATTAAAAAATAAAGGCAGATGTGTGTTCTGATTTCCAAGTATCAAGCTTGATTAATGAGAACAGCTCTCCTACCTTCAAAAATGTACAGTAGAGAGGTATTTGGATTACCAATCTTCTAACTTTCCTTTTAACTTCCTATTACCTCAGGTTGCAAACTTTCTCTTTATCATTTATCCTATTAATAAAATATATTAGCTTTAAGTATATCTTATTGCATAAGTTGTTATTTCCCATTTCTAAAAAAGTCATCGTATCTATACACTGTTTGGCATTCCCAGTTAAGTCTTAGGTTTTTTGAAAATTGAAAGAAATAGTGCAGTATGATGTTGCACTTCATAAGTTCATTACAAAAATATTTATTTTATTTATTTAAGCATCCAAGAACTGGGGTACAGGTCAGAAGTACAGAGGGGTAATAGGATTCACCAGAGACACAGTGGGGAACAGAACAGATGGATAGAGTGAAATATACTGCTGAGGGGAGCAGTGGGCTGGAGACCAAACTCATGTTGCAATGGCTGCAGATAGCTTCATACTGCTGCACTTTAACTCCTGTGTCACCAGGGAAGCCCTGACTAATAGTTTTTAAATTTTGTCCTTACATATAGAAAAAGAGGCAAAAGAGAAAGAAACACTGATTACTATAATGAAAACGCTGATTGACTTTGTGAAGATGATGGTCAAGTATGGCACAATATCTCCAGAAGAAGGTGTTTCCTACCTTGGTGAGAGTTTTGTTTTGTTTTTATTGAGGTCATTTTCATTGTCCAAAGCGAATTAGGGATTGAAAATAATTAACTCGCTAATAATGATAATTTATGCCAAAATAGCCCAAAACATCTGAGCAACCAGAATGCCCAGCTTGATAATACACAAATAAAACTAACCTGAAGTTTTCAATTCTTTATCTTTATAAATATAGCTCAAGCACAAATATTTCATATTTATTTATGTCTTGTCTTATTACTTTCTCGAATCATCTCCATGAAAATGAGTAAATTACTTTTTTTTCCAATTAACTCTGGATGATCAAAACAAAATGAGTTTTGACGTTAACTACAGAGGCCTGCATGGTCTGAAGGACAGAGCGTGGGTCCCGGCCTCAGAAGTTCTGCTTCCTGGTCCCAGTTCTCATGCTGAAGGAAGCCCTGCTCAATAAATACTGAAGGGTTATGTTATCTATAATAAGGCCAATAGACTACTTTTTGTAGCCTATTTTTGTAAAACACACAAGCTAAGAATGGCTTTTACATGTATAAATGGTTAAACATATTTTTTTACATATTTTTTAAACATATTTTTTAAAAGACTAGTATTTTGTTTTGTTTTAGTTCATTTATTTATTTTTTGCTTAGAAGAGCTGGGGTGTAGGCCTGAGGTGAGGGTGAGAGGATTCACCAGAGACAGTGGGGAGCAGAACATGTGATCTACTGAAATACACTGCTGAGTTGAGCAGCAGACACGACAGGAGAGACAGAAGGCGAAACATGTCAGAGAGGTCTGCTGCCCCATATGTAGGCAAGCTTCCTGGCAGCAGATCAAATTCATGCAGTAAGGTGATAGTGCTGAGAGTTAACCCCCAAGCCACCATGGAGGCCCCCAAGACTAGTATTTTGTAACATGAGAAAACTATAAAATTCAAGTTTCAGTGTCCATAGATGAAGTCTCACTGGAACACAGCCATGCTCATATATTTTAGTGTTGTCTAGAGTTGCTTTTGTGTTAAAATAGTAGAGTTGAGTAGTAATTGCTACAGAGACCATCTGGCCTACAAAGTCAAAAATATTTACCATCTGGCCTTTTCCAGAAAATATTTGCCAACCCCTGATTCCTTGAATATTCTATATAAGTTTGGACATTCTTTGATTCTAGGTGTAGCTTATTTTTGAAAAAGAAGTCTTGTTTTCCTGCTTGGTTTACTTAATCAACAAACACCATTTATCCCTGATAAGCTTTGGGCAAGATGACCTCACAGATCTTTGGTAATGGAGGGAAAATTAAAAGAATAAATCTCATAGGGCAAAATAATCCTGAATTATTCTGTATAAACTCCATTTTTCTTACATGAATACAATTATACTGTTTTTATTTTCTGATTATAAGAGAGCATTTTTTAAACATTTTTTAAAGATTTACCTTTTTTAAAATTTACTAATGCATACAAAAACTGGGTGTAGGTCAGAGATGTGGGCAGTGAAACATTTCACCAGAGACAGAAGAGAACAGGTGATCTACTGAAATACACTGCTGAGGGAAGCAGCAGGTGAGACACCAGAGGTCTGCTGCACCATATGGGTCAGCTCCCTGGCCAGGGATGGAACTCAGGCCAAACTCAGGCCACAGTAGCTGGCAATAGCTTGATAGAGCTGAGATTTTAACCCTGTGTTACTAGGCAGGTCACTATAAAGTAACATTTAAAAAAAAAATCAGTCAACGTAAAAAGTTGTTTAAAGGAAGTGAAAAATTACCCATAATACCAGTACTTAGGCAATATTCTGGTTTATATCTTTCTGGATGTTTTTCTGTGTGTGTATGTGTGTGCGCTGGGCATTTGTACAGACATAGTATGTCTTAAGTAACAAAAACTGGTTTCATAATATACACAGTATTTTGTGACTTTTACTCACTTAAAAATAGATGAAAGTCATTGTCCCAAATCAGTCATTGTTTTATATCAATACCCTCTACTCAAAAACTCTAGATTTAAGTCATTTATCCTGTGGAAATAAATTGGAAATACCAAAAGTCTTATGTGCAAGATAGACATCTCCATTACTATTTATATCTGCGCTGTCCGATTTATATCTGTGGCCACGTACACATGTTATTATTTAAATTTAAAAGATTAGAATTGAACAAAACTTAAAGTATAATTTATCCGTCTCAATAGATACATTGCAAATGGACAATCACCACATTTACCTGGTGGTTACCATATGGAACTGCATAGAAATGAGTATTTCCCTCATTGCAGAAAGTTCTACTGGACAGTCTAGTTTATAGGAACAAAACAGTAGCAATAACCTAGATTCTCCATAATAGAAAACTATCTAAATAAATTACCTATTTATTCTTATGATGAATTATTTAAAGGTTATTTTTAAATATTTGTGTTTTTAATTAAATGTATACCTACATACACTATATATGTTATTTTTTTGTTGTTTATAAAGACTAATGATGGGAGGAATATTCATGATATACTGTTGAATGCCTAGAGTTGTTTAGAGGATGACCTCAATTTTGGTGTTAAAAATGGATATATCTATATAAAGAAAGTTGGGAGGAAATATACTGAACATCATCTGGACATGTGCTATTTTTATCTGTATCCTTTTCTGTTCTCTTTATTTTCTCCTCTATGTATGAATGAGAAAACAACAAGTAGGTTAACTATTTCTTAAAGAATTTTTCTTGTTTTTGACTTCTGCTGCCATGGGGCAATCACACTCGGACTCCTGAAGACTCAGGGGCAGTAGAGGTAGAGGAGAGAGGGTTGACTAGCCTCTTCTCCTTCCTTCTCAGAGAGTGACAAGAAGTAACCAGTCCCCTACCTTTCTGTTCTTCTCCCAGCTGTGTGCAGAGACTATAAAGTTTGCTGCCATGGGTGCTATTTCAAAGAAAATAGAATGCTTCTCATGACAGAATATATTGATATTCTTTGCAAATAAGGAATGAGGTACAGTGAAAGGGAAGTTTACTTGGGGAGAAATAATACAAAGCAATAATGGAAACTCTTTAGGCTAATTACAAAGAAATGCTTGTTTGTAAATAGCATAGAAAGTCCTGCCCTTTTATTGAAATGAATATGTGGCTAGTTGAATATTGAATAAAGACAGTGTGGATTCCAGTTCACTGTCTACGCTGACTTGTCACAGCCTAAACTCCTGTCTAGTAACAACTACATGATGTAACTCCAAAGAGCAAAATTAAAACAAAGACATGGAAACAGACTTCAAAGTGATATGAGTAGGGAAAAGTATCACCGTTAAAACAATCTAACATAAAGGAGGTAAGCTAATGCTATGTTGCTACATTGCACACCTTAAACTGATAGAATGTTTTATCTCAATAAAAAATGTTTTTAAAAGATTAACAGCAGTACTGATTACACATGAATTTAGCTAGAGCTCATGTCGACAGAAATACAGCTGTTTGGCTTAAGTGAAAAGTATTTGCTCCTATAAATCAAAAGGCCAGGGCTGAGAGTAGTGAGGCTTCAAGTTGTCTAGTCCACTGATAGGATGAGGAATTTCTCTCTTCCTAGCTCATAGCTCTGATTTTTTGCACATTGATTCATTCCAGACAGGCCTGTAACAAGATGATTGGGATGGCCCAACTACACATTCTCACTGTATAGCAATCCTAGCAGTAAAAGAGCCTCTTTGTCCCAGGGTTCCCAGGCTGGCCTGACTGGAGAATATGATCCTCCCTAAATCAATAATGATAGCCCATTGCTGCCGGGCTTGGGTTTTATTTTTTTTTTTTTTTTTTTTTTAAAGGTTTATTTATTTATGCATACAGGCCAGAGGTACAGGTGAGAGGCTTTACCAGAGACAGAGGAGCAGAACAGGCAGATTAGCTAAAATACATTGTTGAGGGGAGCAGCGGGCGGGTCAGGAGAGGTCTGCTGTGCCATGTGGGTCACCTCCCTGGCCAGGGACCAAACTCATGCTGCAGTGGCTGTGGCCAACTTATCAGTGCTGGACTTTAACCCATTGTGCCACCAGGGAGGGCCCAGGCCTGAGTTTTTAAGCTACCAATAGGGCCAGGTATGCTGCGGATGTGTTGAGTGAGGATCTCCAAAGGAAAATCAGAGCGTAGTGAGTTCCTAAAAGTGTTGAGTACATCAGACCACATCATAGGCCCCAACCCTGCATACGTCCTAGCAGTGGCTACAGAGATGTGCAAGGTACTTGTGCAATTAACTAAGTAGGATGGTGGACACGAAATCTCAAATAGAATAGCTGTTCATCCTGAGTGTTTATGACTTACAGAAATAAAATCCATGTCAAAGATTCTTGCTCACAGAGTTCATATGGTGGAATTATTATTGGGGTACTTCTGGTAAGATTTAAACAATTTTAGTAAAACTGATATCATCTTGCAGGAAACAATGTTATATTTCTTCCTTTCTTCTTTCCAGAAAACTTGGATGAAACAATTGCTCTTCAGACCAAGAACAAGCTAGAAAAAAATGTTACTGACAATAAAAGCAAGCTTTTCCCAGGTATTTTTTGTCCTAGCTCTTAGCATAATAACCCTGTTGAGTGGTAAATAGTGAAGTTTAATAAACACTGATACAGAATTGCAGATTTCAAAAGGTTTTAGTTTGAGTTCTAACCATAGAATAAGCCGGTATAATCTTGGCTAATTTTGTGGCACGGAAAATTTGATTCCAAGAAGCATTGAAAAGAAATATGGGTCTTTACAAAAGTTTCTTGGGGAAGAAAGGGCTACATCACAAAACTGAGTAATCCTTAAGTTCTCCAGGTATCTTTTTTAGGGTTTATTTATGCATACAAGAACTGGGGTGTAGGCCAGAGATGCAGAGGGATGAGAGGATTCACCAGAGACAGAGTGGGGGGCAGAACAGGCAGAGTGACTGAATATACTGCTGAGGGGAGCAGCAGGCAGACAGGAGAGATCTGCCACGCCATGTGGTCACCTCCCTGGCAGAGAATCAAACTCTTGCTGCTGTGGCTGTGGCTCATTCATAGTACTGCACTTTAACCCATTGTACCACCAAGGAGGGCCTCTCCAGGTATCTTTTTCTCACCCTAGATCACTGCTTTCCAGAGTCCTGTCCTAGTCATCTGTCCACTCTCTACTGTCCCTTCACTTGTTCTCTCTTTATAGGTCTCCTCTCCCTGGGGTGGTTGTACCCTGATACAGTATGATACAGGATTGCTCCCTTCTCTCAGTCTGTTTTTCCATCTCCACCTACACCCTACCTATCACAGCAAATACCACATCTTGAGCTTTGCCAAGGAGCCTCCCCTGGGGATGGTGGCGGGGGGGGAGGAAAGAGCAAAAGGAAAGATCATAAATTCTTATAACTTCATTTTGTGTACCTACTGCAGAAATTATGTTCTGATATTTGGCAGCATAATATATATCCTTTAAAAAATGATGTTTTCATGCAGTTTTTAATAACTGGAAACACCTCAATAACTCAGAAACACCCTTCCCTAATGATGTTAATCACTAAAATCAGGAACAAAATTATACTGCTACTATAAAATAAAATTAGACATATATATACGATGATACTACAGTGGGTATTTTGCATAATGAAACAAACTGGTTTCCTTTTTCTTTCCTATTTTTTATAGTAATAAACCTTTTATTGAAGGGGGGATAATCTTGTCTGATGGAAATTTCTTACTTTATTGACCACAGGAATGTACTACAGTTGTGATGAAGGGGTTGCCACTTTGAGATTTATAATGCTTTAATTCAGTATAGGTTTGCTAGAAGGAAATTTAGCTATTTTAAAACCAGAAGTAAGCATTACCCATTCATTCTTGACAAGGATCCAGTTCTATTCTTGGCATTGGGGAGCTGGAGGTAAGGGAGTATGGAGAGGCAGAGACGTCCTGCCATAATCCTAAAGGTCTTAGGTGCTACACTGATCAGTAGACTGTTCTTCAAAAAAACAACACTGAGGAGAGATTGGACAAATGCAGGGTTATTTTATTGAGAATCAAGATTCAAATTAACTTTGGGACCTACATACCCCACTTGATTGCTTATATTGACTGAAATAAAGAAATAATCTATGCTGTAGACATTTTATGGTAGAAAGGAAAGGAAAGCAGATCTAGCAAACTAGAGGGCTGGCACAACTCTTCTGCTAACTAGGTGAATGATTTAAGGTACATCCTTTTTCTCTCTGGGGCTTGGTTTCTTGTTCTGTGAAACAGAGAATGAATTGGATTTGATAACCACTAATATCCTTTTCTGTTTAAAAAAGTGATCTGACCTCCAACTATAGTGTCTCAATAAAATTTAATGTATGTTTGGAATTACATGAAATAGAGTTATAACAGTGCTCCATCTGACTACAGCACCTTCAGAGAAGAGCCATGAAGAAACAGACAGTACCAAGGAAGAAGCAGCGAAGATGGAAAAGGAATATGGAACCGTGAAGGATTCCACAAAGGTTGATAGTTCCCATTCAAGAGCAAAGACAGATGAGCCAAAAGGTATGGAACGGATAGCTGGTGGCTGGCAATGAAATTAAAGAAGCAAAGACTTTTACCACACCTGGAAGGATGATCCAAATGGCTAGTCCTCAGAAGCTGAGCAATTAGCACCATCTTTATAGATAAGATTGAGCACATGGTGCCATTATTCCAATAGTAATTGTATCTAACAATCTTAAGTCCCCTGGGATAGCAAATTGGTTTCATCTTTTATTGCTCTTTAGTGTACAGTGGGCTTTTATGGTTGGGGAAGAATACTTATAACCACTTACGTAGTTTAATACTCCATTGATGACCTTATAAATTACTCAATATTTCTTTAAAATAATTGACAATCCTCTAAATAATCATACTAATTACTCAAAAAGTTCACTTTCTTTTAAATATTTTTTATTTATGTATACAAGAACTGGGGTGTAGGCCAAAGGTGTGGGGGTTGAGAGGATTCACCAGAGACAGACTGGGGAGCAGAACAGGCAGCTCTTTTGCTAACTAGGTGACTGATTTAAAGTACATCCTTAAATCACAGCTGAGGGGAAATACATAGTTTAGGGGAGCAGTGGGCATGTTAGGAGAGGTCTGCTATGCTATGTGGGTCACCTCCCTGGTCAGGGATGCAACTCGTGTTGCAGTGACTGCAGATAGCTTCATAGGATTGCACTTTAACCTCTTGCACCACCAGGGAGGCCCCCACCATGCTATTTTCGATAGACCTTTATCCACTCACATTCCCACTGAGAGTGTGGAAGAGTCCCAGTTTCTCCATATCCTCGCCAATATATTTATTTTATTACTTTTTATTATGATAGCTATCCTATAATAATGGATATGCAGTAGATAATGAAAAGTAAACTTAAACTAGAGCTAGTCAAGAAAAGAGTTGTCCTATGGCCTGAGATAGAGCCAGGAACCCAGTGAAAGCCTCACAGTTCATGCCAGCCGAAACCTTACATATCAGTTGTCGCTTCTGGGAGCAACCCCATGCCCGTAATGATAGTATTTCCCCAGCACACAGCAGGCCATTCTAGAGAAGCAACTGCCCAGCAGTTAAAATAATATATCATTATGCAAATATCCCTACAAATAGGTGCTCACAGACCCTTTTGCTTGTCTTGGAACAATATTATGTAAAAAGGAAATACGAAAGCATTGATCTTGATCAGTGCTATTGCCTATGTAAGATGTATTTGGAGACTAATGATGAAGTTAGATTTCTTTTCTTACAGGATTTGTCTTAAGATAATCGTGGGTAGAAAGGAGAGTAAAACTCTATCCATTTAGTGTCACTCCTGAAACATTAGGGAGAGGTCAGATTTGGGATTAAAGTTAGCCCTCACCTCCCTTATTTACATATTTAACTTCCTCTTGCAACCACTGACTGCATTGTATGATACAAAGAAAATCGACTCAAATACAGTTTAGAAAACATCAAATTAAACTTAAGCCAAGAGTCAATATTTCTTGGAAAAAATCAACCCCCCAAAAGACTTACTATGACATACAACTTTGTAATCTCGATTGCCTTGTTTGCACTGTTTCAAAAGTTATTTTGTTTCTCTGTTATAAAACCCAGAAAGAAAATAAATATTGTGTTAGGCAGAAAAATAAAAACATCATGTAGGTAAAAGCAGGGTTGACTGGGTTTCCTGAGACATTTATTCACAAATATTTATTCCAGTGTCATGTTGGTATTGTACTCAGGAAGTAGAGACAGAAGGAATTTAAAAGCCAGAGCCTGCCTCTGAGGATCCAGCAGACTTTGAAGTGACCTGAGAATAGTTCTCAACCCACATGTAGGAAAACACACAAGCCACATATGAACATGCTTATCTCTCTTATAGATGTGTCAGGAGTGTGTAGAAATGCTCCCTTCAGGAGGAGAAGTTGGAGTACTGTACAGGCAGAGCAAAGGGATGAGGTAATGGTCCAGCTATTTCCAACTTAAGGAAATAATTATAAACAGAACATGTTGGCAGGAATATCTGTAGGGAGCCTGTTTTGGTCTTGCAATGTGAGATAATGTGATAGCTACAGTAAATATATGTTAACCAAGCCAAGCATACACTAGGTCCTATGAAGAATATAAATAGGAATGCCACTAATAATAACAATAATAATAATTATAATAAATACCCTACATTTCTATCACTCTTCAACTTACAAAGCAGGTTTACATACATTGCATTTCAGGGTTATTGTAAAAGAAGTCAATTTAGTTACAAGTGATGAAAATGACATGCTCACGATTGAATGTATTTTAGTTAGACATACTTGCTTCTTACAGGGACGCACATTAATAATAATATTTTAGGGCCTCTCTGGTGGTGCAAAGGTTAAGTCATAGCACTATGAAGTTATTGGCAGCTACTGCAACATGAGCTCCATTCCCCCACCAGGGAGCTGACCCACAAGGTGCAGCAGATGACAGGAGAGACCTCTCCTGTCTCACCCACTGCTCCCCTTAGCAGTGTATTTCAGTACATCTGCCTGTTCTGCTCCCCACTCTGTCTCTGGTGAATTCTCTCAGTCCTTGCACCTCTGGCCACAGCTCTTGTATGTATAAATAAATAAAACAAATCTTTTTTTTTTTAAAAAAAGGAATACTATTTTAAAAGATTAATTTCCAACTGGTACAGTTATTTGAATGACTTGATAATTATTCTTGTATTTATGGATATGCAAATGAACTTCAATTTATTCTAATTTCAACCATCTCTATAAAGTAGCTTAATTTTTTAAGTAAAACGCTCTCCAGAAACCAACGTAAAATACTTTAAAACTTTATTCCATTACCTAAGAGTGACTCTTTTTGCCAATTAGATATTTACTCATTCATTTCTGCTCAATGAGTCATTAAAAATCTTTTTTTAAAACTCATCCAAGTGATGGGAAAAACATTATAATATCCACAATCCCATTCCAGTGCTATCATTTGTTAAATTAAAGTCCAGATAATTGAATTCAGTTAAGAGGTGATCTTAAGATACCTTTCACCTAAACATCTTATCATATTCACATCTTTACAGAAGCCAAAAAAGAGAAGGTTACCTATGTAGTTAATTAATTGACAATAAATGGCCTAATTCATGTGGATGCTTGTATTTGCAAAGCAGCATAACAAGATAAAATTCATGCCTTTTTTCAAGCTCCACTGCATTCTGCTCAAAATATCCAAAATTAGTAAGTCCATTTTTCTCCCCTGTGAATCAGGAAATATGCCAGGAGCTAAGTGCAGGCCTGGGAGACATACCATCAACACAGCTTTTCCAAGGCCAGCAAAGGAGACTTTCTTTCCATATCTAGAAACCATGAATCTTCTTTTTTCTTTTTCCCTCCCTTCTTTTTTTAGAGTTTACCCCTTAATTTACAATAACTAACCAAAGCTCAGAAGATGAAGTGACACACCCAAGATCTCACAGCCAAAGAGTGTCAGAGCTGGACCTTGAACTTACACCTTGACTCCCAAGGAATGTTGGTCCCAATGTTCTATGCTGCATCTTACTTATAGGCTTGTAAAATGTCATGATTGTGCAGAAATTCTTGAATAGAATTGCTCTGGGCCCCGTGTTGTCTCCCACGATACCTTAGCAGTTGCTCTGATTTCTGCAGTTCAACACTATAATCATGTAATCTTTACTGAACAGAATATTATAAACACTCTTTTTGAAAGCATATATTTTTAATATATCCAGTATTTGCTTAATTAACTATATTGCTTGCTACAGCATAGTGTATCAAGGTCAGGGCGAGCTCACATATAAAAAAAAGACATTTCTTTTACAGGGCTAAAAAGCAGAATAGCCAAAAAAGTAGGGCTGCATCTTGACTCTGACCCTTTTCCCATCTGCTGCAGCATATGTTTTAAGGCTTGTGCCATATTACCTCAACCATGAGCTATTTTTTTCCACAGGAAGCTGAAACAAATCTGAAAAAAATAGCCCAATTTTCCAAAGAGGACTCTCCTGGGTTTTCAGTGCAAACTGTGTAAATAAAAGATTTGTTTTGCAGCTCCTGAGAAGAGAAAATGTCAATAGGAACAAGCTGCTTCCCTCCAATGACAGAGGAACACCTGATTTTGCCCCCCCTCACTACCAGTGTTCCAGTAAATTCTGGAGGCCCCAATACCAGTGGCTGTGATTCCCAAACGTTGCTAAACATGGGAATCAGCTCAGGAGCATTAAAGAAACATGATACTTGATTTCTACCTCCAGATATTCTGGTTTGTTTTATTTTTTCTTAAGATTTATTTATTATTAAGGTATACATTAATGGTGGTATAGGTCAGAGGTGCTGGGGGTGAGAGAATTCACCAGAGACAGAGTGGGGAGCAGAACAGGCAGAACTGCTGACGGAGCAAGGATCTAAAGGAAAGTGCTAGGCCATTTGGGTCAGCTCCCTAGAAGAGTTGGAATCAAGCTGCAGTGTGACCAGAGCTTAAATATTGCTGAGACTTTAATCCCTATGCTATCAGAACTTTTATTATTATCATTATTATTTTTAAAGATTATTTGTGCATACAGAACTGGGGTACAGGCCAGAGGCTCAGGGGCAGCGAGAGGCTTCACCAGAGACAGAGTGGGGAGCAGAACAGGCAGA